TAAATAACATAAAAATAAAAAATAATGAGGATGAATTACTCACAGAAATAGCCAGGCATTGGCATATGTTGCCGGATATATATTAAAAAAGGTAATCATTCCACAGGATTGTGAGACCTGTCAATATAATTTATTTTCAGAAAGTACAGCTAAACATATATTTGTTTCTTTTAAAGAACACGATGATATTTCTCGATTAACGTATGCAAGCGAGAATGTAATGCAGTTTATAAAAAATATACATGAAAGTATATATGAATTTTTAGATAAATATGGCTATACCTCTCTGTTAGAAGATCGTTTTAAAACTTATTTTAAAAACTCTGATATGTTTATTCAGTTATGTCCATTGCACGATTGCGAGTGTATGATTTTAAATAAGTGTGTGCCATTTTTAATTCATAAATATATTAAAGATAATAAACCAGGAAAAGCAATTTCACAAGGACATGTAAATAAAATTAAAAACTGGTCTTCAATGAAACCAAAAACGTGAAGTCATTAGTATTTAAAAAATGTGGTATATTTTTGTCGTATCCAGAGTTCTTTTTATTTTATTTCGTTATAATTTGTGTATGATATTTTATACATATTGTATTTTTATATTCATTGAGTGTTATATCGAAACATTTTTGTATGAAAACGCCTCCTATTTTAGATTCTATTTGTGTATTATTTTAGACCAGGGCCGATAATTTTCGAGACCAAAAAAATTTAGAACAGGATGGAACTCATTGGAAAAGGAAAAAAATATAGCAAAAATAAAAGGAAAAATAATTTACGGGCGATCTGAGGTCGGGAAGTGGAAGGGGGTGAATTTTTAACGGTAAAAAACGGTTTATCGCGATTTCCGGCAAAACTACAAGTCCTATGGAAAAAAGTTAAATAGCAAAGTTGTAGGTAATAAAAAGATGTACAACTTTTGTATTTACACTTTTTTCACATAACCTCAAAATTTATGCGAAAAATTCAAATAACCGATTTTTTGGTTTTTTATTTTTATTTTCCACAAGAAATTTTTTTTTTCACGAAATTTGGTGAAAACTTACCTTTTTATGTCCCAAACACACTGTAATTTTTTTGATTAAAAATATTTAATTTTTCCCCTTATTTTTATTTAATATCGAAAAAGCACCCTAATTTTCAATCGAAAATTCTGACGTCAAAATATCTGCTTTTTTAAAAAATTTTTTTAAAAAAGTCAGTGCTTTTTGATCGTTAAAATCTCTACTTTCTGATGGTGTAAAAAAAAATATACATTACTGTGGCAAATTTTCGCAGAAAATGCAAAAAAACCGAAAAAACTCGAATTCGAAAAATTGTTTTTTAATCATTATGTAAAATTTTTAGCTATTTATTAAAATTTACACTTTAATTACTCGAAAAACGTAAGATTCGATGCTACATTGATAAACTAAAAAATTGCAAATCGAAATATACTATTATAATTAACAACCAAATAAGTTAATAAAGTTAATACTTTATAAGACATGTACAATATTTTGAGAAAGTTGTAGGATCTTCTTTATAAAGGGGATTTTATCTAAAAAATGTGACTGCAATTTTTTTCAGTAAAAAAGTAGATTTATTAAATTCTAATTACATTTATGTCATAGAAAATCTCATAATATATAAATATGCATGTTAGGCATTTCAATTTAAACAATTTATGCTTGAAATCGTACGATTGAATTTAAATACTTTTCACTGATTACGTTATTCATTATAATATTTTTAAATACATTAATCTTGTTATTTATAAATACCTTATCTTGAATTTTAATCACTTATCCATTAGTTTTTGTCTCTTTGATGGCATTTCCTCATCGTTAGATTCGACAAATATTCCCGATTCTGGTAGATCTTCGAAATCTTCAAGACCATCATCGTCTTCGTCTCCAATATTTTTTCTAGTCTGCGTTGGTTCTTCATCCACGATTTCATCTGAATCATTAACTTCCTCGTAGATTTTTTCTTCAACATTGGAGCATTTTTATTTCAACATTGGAGAATTTTTCAGAACCATAACAATTTTCGCATAAATTTGTGCATTTTAAACCATGTTTTCGGCAGCCACATTTTAGACTGTTACATCCAGTTTCACAGCTGCAGCAAATAGTTTTAAGCAATATTTCCGGAATTAATTCCTTTTCTGTCAATTTGGGCATAATGCCACGCTGATGTTGCTTCCAGCCCCAATCTGTTGCTGTCAGTTCGTTGTCCAGCCAAGTTTGAAGCTGATAATATGCCCTGTAACAATGTTGTTCTGCTGCACCTTCTGTGGGTGGGAGATTTGCCAATATAAAAGATGATTTAATCTTTGCAAATTGATATTTTTGAAATCTTAATTGATTCAGTGTTATATTGTCATTTTTACATTTATAAATAGATTTAATTAATTGTAATCCATTTTTTGCGATATTTTCTTTGTTAGCATCTTTTTTATAAAAAATATTGGCCAAATTTGACAAATTTTTATCGTCTAATAATGAATTTACGATGCTTTTCTTTCCTTTTCCGGCAAATCCAGATATTGTATTTTCATATTACGAAAATTATAATATTTTTATTTTAGAGCTGATTGATTCAGATTAAAATATAGGTAGTATTTACCTTGCTATGTAGATTCCAAAAGTTTCTTTTAAGGAAGTAAATTTGTCACGATTATCTTCAAATAACTCAGCCTGCACGTGTATTCTTACGAACGATGTTGTTCACTGTTCTGTATCTCGAGTACTGGCTAACGGTTTTTGCAGCTGCTACGAAATGATCAACAGGTAGTAACGCCCAGACCCTCCTAGCCCCTTCCCCACTTCTCTATGAAATACCTTCTGATGGACTACAATTTTCCGTAGTCCATTCAGGTATATAAGGTACCTTAAAAGAGCAATAAATAGGTACCAACGCATATAATTCAAAGAAGATCCTACAACTTTTTCAAAATATTGTACATGTCTTATAAAGTATTAACTTTATTAACTTATTTGGTTGTTAATTATAATAGTATATTTCGATTTGCAATTTTTTAGTTTATCAATGTAGCATCGAATCTTACGTTTTTCGAGTAATTAAAGTGTAAATTTTAATAAATAGCTAAAAATTTTACATAATGATTAAAAAACAATTTTTCGAATTCGAGTTTTTTCGGTTTTTTGCATTTTCTGCGAAAATTTGCCACAGTAATGTATATTTTTTTTTACACCATCAGAAAGTAGAGATTTTAACGAACAAAAAGCACACTGACTTTTTTAAAAAAGCAGATATTTTGACGTCAGAATTTTCGATTGAAAATTAGGGTGCTTTTTCGATATTAAATAAAAATAAGGGGAAAAATTAAATATTTTTAATCAAAAAAATTACAGTGTGTTTGGGACATAAAAAGGTAAGTTTTCACCAAATTTCGTGAAAAAAAAAATTTCTTGTGGAAAATAAAAATAAAAAACCAAAAAATCGGTTATTTGAATTTTTCACATAAATTTTGAGGTTATGTGAAAAAAGTGTAAATACAAAAGTTGTACATCTTTTTATTACTTACAACTTTGCCATTTAACTTTTTTCCATAGGACTTGTAGTTTTGCCGGAAATCGCAATAAACCGTTTTTTACCCTTAAAAACTCACCCCCTTCCACTTCCCGACCTCAGATCGCCCGTAAATTATTTTTCCTTTTATTTTTGCTATATTTTCTTCCTTTTCCAATGGATTCCATCCTGTTCTAAATTTTTTTTACTTTTTACAATTTTCAAAGGATTCGGCCCTGGTCTATTTTAATTTGTAATAAATATGTCTATTTTGTAAAAATTATTGATTTTTTTCTGCAATAAATTTATGTACATCATTTAATTGCTATTTCAAACTCTAATTGGCTGCGTTTCGTTATTTACTGCGAGTATTGAATCTATATAGGTTACATTACGTATACTCTATAGATTTTCAATACTCGCAGTGAGTAACGAAACGCATTCAATATTGAAAGGATTTAAATTCTCGTCCCCCATTCCTACAGTCCACTTTAGTTCGCACTCCACCACTAGATGGCGGTGTCTCATCTTTGTTGCCCATCTTATGAATAGAGCTTTCATTTCTCTTAGTACATGTTCTGTGCTCATAGTATTGAATGCACCTATTGATTATATGAGGGTAATATGAGAGTCAGGGTCCCACGGGGATTACGCAAGGATCAGATTTATATCGTATTGGCTTTAGGAATAGGAAGCGGTATTTATACTTGGAATTCTGTATTAAAGGAACATATGAAAGAATGCGAAAAAGAACTACAGTTAAATGAGGTAATCAGTGAATCGTATACTTAATGATACGATCATAACCTGTACAGTTACATTATCGTATTTTTCGCGATTATATAATACGTTTTATTATGTGTGTATATATAGCTCTTATAATTACAATTATCTGTACATATTAATCATTATCAGTACTATTATCGATATAATATTAATACTACTAATATTAAGATTTTCTAATAAAAAAATAAAGTTTGCATGTTTAATAAAAAAAAGAACAAAAAAATAATAAAAATATATTGCATATTTTTATCATTTGTAATTCTTTCTTTAAAAAACTATCGTTGCTTGGTTTAAAAACAAATTTTATTATGGGTAAAGATTTTATGAATGATATTTTTTTCTTAAAATATAATATTGTGTAATAAATTTTAGTTTGATAAGGAGAAGTAAAAATCTGCTATTTAACAAATTTAGCCGGTTAGGGCTTGTAGTGATTGGCGGTGCTTTCTCTATAATAGGTTTCAAGTAAGTTTATATTTTGTTCTATTTTTTATGAATTATTAACAAGGATGAAATAAGGATATAAGATTATAATGTAATGCATTTTTTATGCAGAATTTTCATACAGCCATGGTTCAAACGGCGGAAGGCAGCAAAAGCTGAGGAATTTGCAAATTTTATTTACGAACAGCGAAAGAAAAGAGTCTTGGAGTAGAGAAAAAAAATTCAACTGGAGCTCATGATGTAAACCTTTATCAGTTTTATATATATGTTTCTTTATTAATACCTTATAATTTAAAAAAACAGATTAGATGTAAATATAGCATGGTACAATAGAATCTCTATCGTTCCAATAAAACTATTACATAATCTTATTGAGTGATCTCGTAACCTATTCTTGAAACTTGCTACCATAGAATGGAATATATCGTACCACTGCTTTCCAGTCTGTAAAGTATAACAGTGATAACCATGCGCCAGTTCCATAAGCCACTGCGGTTGGAGTCCTAAAAGAATTATTTAATATCTTGAATAAAAGATATCAGATATCTAATGCAGCACAAAAAATTATACTTATGTCAAAATAAAACAATCTCCATTGCTTTTGATGTAAGAGAGAGAAATATATGAAAAGTATAAAAATAAAATTTTGTTATTTATTCCATGCAATCATTTAATAGTTAGAAATAACATACGAATGATATATTCAATACCATGGGCGTATCCAGAGAAGTGGTTTTGGGAGGTTCAACCCTCCCCTAGAATTTTTTATTAATTATTTAATTTTGGGATGATCCCGTTAGTGCATATCCCAATAGCACACATCCATCGATGTCTAGTCATTTTTCACTGCTTTACTAAAAAGAATATTTTATTTTAAATTAGCCAATTAGCGATGCATTATATCAAATTCCTCTTTTCCATTTTTAATTTTAAAAACGTACAACTTTACTTTTGTGTAAATTTTTTGGTGTCAAAATATTTTTTTCTCCTCGTTATAAGATTATTTAAGTAATTTTTAATACTTTTGTTAGTTCAAGCTTTGACAGAATATGCAATACATAAAGAAAATTTTCATAAAACTTGACTCTAATATATATAACGCTATAATTGATATATTCAGTACAATTGCTCATTGAGCGGTTAGTGAACGCTTGCACCTGCTTGGTCTATATTTTTATAATCACTTTTACAATTATTTTATAATCATTTTTGTGAAAAAGTATTGTAGAATACGAGAGAGAGAAAGAGAACTTTACGTTATTTAGTATTCTTGTTTTGCTCAGAATATTTATGTAAAAGTTATGTAATGTTTGTAATAATAATAATAATATTAAAGAATTAAATATTTTGTTTGTAGTAGTTGTATTGCCCATACTTTCTTTAAAAAATAAAATAAAAGTTACATGATATACAAAATGTAACATTTTTTCTTTTCAAAATGAGATACGAGGAGATATTAAAAGCTGTAAGAGCATCCAAATGGAATTCATTAAAGTAAAAAACTTTTGAAAATGTTACAACGAAATTGGTGCTGTGATGTTCTTTGCAGTGTAACCGCAAAATCCTATTTTTTTAGTTCTCATTCCAGTTGGTTCATGGTACATCTGAGGAACATCCTTGGGTTAATAGAAACCCCCCCCTCCGAAAAAATTCCACGATACGCCCATGTTCAATGCACTCTCTTGCACATTAAGATTACATCGAAGTTGGAATACCAAAAATACTGGAACACTCACCATTTCGATGCTAATTCGATGTTCTTTCGTGTTATTCGCAGAGGCATTTTTTAAATATTGAATTTGCAGTAACAAATCTTTTATATTTATACCGTGGAAAGTAAAATTCGGAGCACTTCAGGGGTACAGAGAATAGAAAACGAGAGATAAGCCCAAATAAGCCTCTGCACAAAATACGAAGTTATCTAGTTCAGAAACATGATGTCAAGCATGGAGTATAGAGAATAGGAGACCGAACTAGGCTTAAAAAGTGTGGTCAAAACCAGGTTTCTGAATTGGTATTGGTGGTGCTCGGTAGGCGTTCGAATCGCAAAGCTCCTCTCAAGGCCCGTCTACAATACACGGAGTAAGAAGTAAGAGTAAGAAATTGACCAATCACAGTCGATTATTCTTCTCACATTCGACTGTGATTGGACAATTTCTTACTCTTCTTACTCCGTGTATTGTAGACGTTGCCTAAAGGCCATTCTACATTGGTCGTATCGTAGACGTCGCAAGTCACAAGCTTGTTGCTTCAGCCAATCCGATGTTTCAATTTTAAAGTCGTATGATACTTAACGACGCTTCCGACGCTACGATACGACCAATGTAGAATGGCCTTAAGGGGTTATATACAGTTGTGATGGATGAAAAAAAAAAAAAAATCAACAAATCGATGTTTTCGAGGCTGCAAATGATGCAGAAGGACTACTATATGGCCCTGGAATAGACGACTCGATGTAAGTTGAAATATATTTATTAGAAATATGAAAGAAACAAACTTGAAAGTTTAAACGCGATTATCTCAGAAACTTGTTTTTTCGAAATTACCTTTGCGGTGGACACGATTACTAAAAAACTATTAATCCGATCAACACCAAATTTATACCACTTATTTATTATGATAATAGCTAGTCGCTGAACGAAGGATTTTCAATTTTTTTTGAAAACTTTTTTTTTAGAGCAAAAAATCGAAAATGTTATACATCAAAAAAGTACATTTTTTATTACAACCGTCGCCATTTTTTTTTAAATCAAAATTTTTACAAATCCTTCGTTCAGCGACTAGACAATACAATATACTAACGGAATTTTTTTGAATTTTTGATTTCAAATAAACCGTTTTCAAGATATGATGTCCACCGCAAGTCACGTCAAAAAAAAGGCGTTCCTGGAATTCGCCTATAACTTTTTTATTATTTAATATTTTTTGATGAAAAAATTTCAACAAGTTCTTAGAAATATGTACTATTCGACGTTGATAACAGATTTTGAATAAATATTTTTTATGGTGTCAAAAAAAATTCGAGAAAATTTCATCTTTTTGCGCGGTACAACTGTATATAACCCCTTAAGACTGCTGTAAAGCGTTACGGCAATGCTTGTGTTCACACCCTTAACCCCGGATCTACAATAGATGTTTTGAGCTTTAAGCCTTTAACTTTAGGCGTCGTCTACAATACACGGAGTAAGAAGTAAGAGTAAGAAATTGACCAATCACAGTCGATTATTCTTCTCACATTCGACTGTGATTGGTCAATTTCTTACTCTTACTTCTTACTCCGTGTATTGTAGACGGGCCTTTATAACATGGCTGTCTACAATGTGTTCGAGTCATAAGACATAACCAATGAAATAATAGCAAGTCTTTTAGCATAGTATGTCTATTGTGTAACGTAACCTACAAAGATTTGTTATATGCACAGAGGCTTAAAAAATGAATATATTATCTATCCTTACTCTGACTCAAATGCAAAATGTGCTTTTGTATACATATTTGAGAAAAAGAAATACAAGAAGGTGGTGGGTAAGGCACATCAATCTGCAAAGAACGCAGCATGGAATATATAATATGTTGAAAGAGTTGTATTTCACGGATGAGGAACAACTTTTTTTGAGTACACTAGAATGAATGTAAGACAATTTGATTTTCTGCTCTCTTTGGTTGGCCCAATGCTGCAAAAAAATGCAGCATCGTCCCGAATGTCGATTCATAGTCACATTGGGCCGTATTCATAGTCCCACCTCAAGTGTCTAGGCTATCGCATATAAAATGCATAACAGAGCATAAGCATAACATAAGGCCGCTAAACCAATGAGCATCTTATGTAAATCAATATGGCGACATTATGCTAGATGCTCATTGGTCCAGCAGTCTTATGTTATGCTTATGCTCTGTTATGCATTTCATGTGCGATAGGCTTTAAGGAATACTTGAAGGTCGAGTTTACCAATTTATAGTCAAAATGTCAAGATGTACTCCGTCTGACGCCTGCGCATTAGAACCAATTTCGTTCCTTCACTCAAGGGAGGATAACAGCTTCCTTGAGGACTCCTTTAGGTAAGATTCCTAACCGAATTTAGTGCGCGCGCGCGCGATTTGTGTATAAATCAGAGCTGATGTTTATTATCTTTATTAATATTATTGCGTGTAGTTATAAAATATGGAAGACTTTGATAACTTTTATGATATCGAAAATGTAGAAATTAATAATTGTATAGTCCGATTACAAAAACGCTATATTCGCGACGCAGAAAATCCGCTGGAATATTATTCAGATGAAGAGTTCAGGAAAAGATTCCGCTTTAAGGACGTTCTCCGAAAAATTCATTTTCTTTAGATTTTTCTGAAACTTACAGAATAAGCTTGTTTTAGTGTTCTGAACATATATA